CACACCCCCAATGTTTTCTGTTTTGTTTTGATATAAGGTCTTCCTATGCATTCCAGGCTGGTCCTGAACTAGCAGTTGCCATCAAGAATTAAAGAACAGGAAAGTCTGTTCTGTAATTTTCCTCATACATCCATTCATCTATTCATTCACCCTTTCAAAATAGCTATTGGGAGGGAAACATTTGAATTCTATCTGAAAAGTATGGTGTGTACATTGGCAAAAACGAAGTAAGCTATAAAGTAAAATGTCCCCAGGGCACATCATGAATTGCATGGAAGAAAATAAAAAATACTCAACTTTGAGTAAATAAGAAGAGTAAATCATTTCATGCTGAAATTCAAAGATCCTTATATAGCAGTGGCTGAGGAGGGAAATGGTTCCTACTCTCCATTTTTGAGTTCCATGTAATTTTTAAAAATTTTGCTCTGGAAAGTCCCATGTCACAGCAGGACAACTTAAAAAAAGGAAAAATAGTAGGGCCAGGGAGCTTGCTCAGCAGCGTAAGCGCCTGCCTGGCAAGCGCAAGGTCCTGAGTTTGGTCTGGTACCAAGAAAAAAAAGAAAGAAAGAAAGAAAAATACTGTGCAGCCAGGCTAGTTTCTCAGTCCAAGTTGTAAATAGGACCTCAACGTATCTTTTATCAGCCTGCTTGGGCCTCTGCATCTGAAGCAATAGGCCAACCTAGCGGGACCGGGAGAGGATAAGTTTTACATGAGGTAGAATGTGTAGTGCTTCCTGTTCATCCCCTTATTCCTTCCTCCACAGCATCTCTGATACTAAAGGGCCAAACTGATGGCTTCACCAATGTAAGTATCCATACCACAAAGGAAGGAAAGTGTCCAGGCACGAAAATGCTCTGGACCGTTTATTCATAGTACCACTTCCATATATGGCTAATGATCTGAAAGGAGGAGGAGGGCAGAGACTTACAGTTTGCCAGGCTGACCCCATGGTAGCCATCCATTCCAAGATTTTTTAAAATTCTGGCCAACTCACACCTTTCATAGACCTTGCCTTGGACAGTCACAGAAAGGACGAGAAGCCCCAGAACGAAGAGAGCCTTCATGTTGCCTGGAAAGCCGGACCACCGGGCTGCCTATGGTAGGTCAGTGCCGGTATTTAACCTCTTTTGACTTCCTTCTTCCTGTCTCCTTGGTAGGCGTACCTTTTGACCTTTGGGAAAAGCAGGAAGTACTTATTGTCCTTCAACTTCAAAAGAACTTTTTAAAAAAAATATTTAGAAAGAGATACTTTGTTGTTCTGAGAATTAATCTATAATAAATTATAAAATGATATTCTTTGAGGACTTGGCTTACAGTGAAGTGGGCGGTAGCACTGTTACCATAACAGGATCTTTCTTCTATTTTATAATGAATTTGAGCAAATATAGAAAAATTCGTT